GTGCTTTTATACCGGGAAGGCTCATTATTGACAATGCAATGGTGGCTTTTGAAATTTTCCATTTTATGAAGCGAGGCGGAGGAGGGGGTGAAGGGTCAATTGTGTTGAAGTTAGATATGAGCAAAGCATACGATAGGGTCGAATGGGGTTTTCTAGAAGCTGTAATGTGTAAATTTGTTTTTTCTGAGTTTTGGATTCGGAAGGTGATGGAATGTGTGTCGACGGTCTCGTTCCCCTTTAAAGCAAACAGTGAGTGTTTTGGCACTGTTATTCCTACTAGAGGTCTCAGGCAAGGAGACCCCATTTCTCCTTACCTGTTCTTATTGTGTCCAGACGCTTTCTCTTGCTTACTATCTACGGCCGCAGGGAGTGGGGATATCAGTGGTATTAAAATTTGCAGGGCTGCCCCAAGAGTGTCTCACCTGTTCTTTACCGACGACAGTATTTTGTTTGCTAATGTTACTTCTCAGGAATGCACAAAAGTGACTGAAATTATTAGTACATACGAATGTGCTTCGGGTTAGAAGGTAAATCTAGATAAAACAGAAGTAGTGTTTAGCAAAAATGTGTCTCTAGATACTAGAAGGGTCATTGTAAATTTGATGGGGGTGAGGGAAGTTGAGAAACATGAAAAATACTTGGGTCTTCCGACTGTCGTTGGCAAATCCAAGAGAGCAATCTTTTCTGGCATAAAAGGGAGAATCTGGAAAAAACTCAATGGGTGGAAGGAGAAGCTTTTGTCTAAGCCTAGTAAAGAAGTACTCATTAAGGCCGTCGCTCAAGCAATCCCAACCTACATGATGAGCCTGTTCAAAATTCCAGACAATGTGGTTGATGACATTCACAAAATGCTGAGCCGGTTTTGGTGGGGGTCTCACTCGAGCCATCGTAAAGTACACTGGCAGAATTGGGATAAGCTCTACGCTCCAAAGTCAATGGGGGGGCTTGGTTTTCGCGATTTGCAATGCTTTAATCAGTCACTGTTGAGAAGCAATTGTGGAGATTTCTGACGAATCCCCATACATTGTGGTGTAAACTAATGAAGGCACCTACTTTAGAAGAAATAGCCTTTGTGAGGAAAAGCATGGGTATGACCCAAGTTACATTTGGAGTAGTCTATGGAGTGTTCTTGGTTTGTTCAGGGAAGGTTTGGGACGTAGTATTGGTGATGGAAGGGATACTATGGTATCGAAGGATAGGTGGGTGTTTGACGATGAAAGGTACATAAGTCTGCAAAAACCGCCAGGTGCTGATGATGGCTTGACTGTATACGACCTGATGCACGAAGGGGAGCAGAGGTGGAATGTTGAGAAAATTTTGGGTTTGCTTGGACAGGTGACACCTTCGGTCCTTGCCATCCCTTTATCACAACATGCTGCAAAGGATGGTTATTTCTGGATGGGCACAAGGTCAGGCATGTACTCTGTGAAAGCAGGTTATTGGCGAGCTAGAGAGGCGAAGGGAGGTGCTAATATGCTCCTTACAGTGGATGACTGGAGATCTGTGTGGCGTCTGGCAGCCCCCCCCAAGATACAGCATTTTCTATGGAATGCCATTAGGGGTAATATGGCAATGAAGGCTCGCCTAGCTCAAAGACATATTACCTCAGATACGGTCTGTCAAATTTGTGAGGGAGAGGTTGATATAATGCATGTTTTCTTCAACTGTAAGTATGCAGTAGATATTTGGAGATATAGCGATTTTGGAGATTTGTTGAATGAGGCTCCTGCAAACTCTTTACTTATGCGTTGGAGATGGTTTCGGGAGAAGGTAAACAATGCTGGTCTTCTGAAAATCGCTGCACTACTATGGGCTAGCTAGAGATGTAGGAATTTGTATATCTATGAGCATGTACAACCCAATGCCGTGATGTTAGCTGCTAATTACAGCAATTGGATTGCTGACCACATGCTGTATGCTGCGAAATTGAGCTGCCAGCCTCACAGAACAGCTGGTGCTAGTGCCAGCAGGTGGTCCTGCCCTCCCCAAGGCGTGATTAAGGCTAATGTAGACGCGCATAAGCCTCATGAAGGTAATGTAGGGTTGGGTGTTGTGTTTCAGAATGCAGAGGGTAGTATTATATTGGCTGCAACAAAGAGTGTCGCTCCTTCAACTCCGGAATGCTTAGAGGCGCAAGCGGTTCGTTTTGCATTAAATTTGGCTAGAAGATTTGGTTTCTCAAAGCTGTGGGTCGAAACCGATGCCTTGAATGTTGTCAAGGTATTATCGACTCATGGTGTTGCCGGTTTGGCTCCAATGTTTAGAGTTTATAATGATATTATGTTAGATAGAGCTTGGTTTAATTATTGTATCTTTTCCCATGCAAAGAGGTGTTGTAACACTTTAGCTCATCTAGTGGCGAGGGGAGATACAGAGGGGAACTCGGAGGTTATCCGTTTTGAGTCTTTCCCTCAAAGCTATGTAGAGCTAGCTATGTTGGATTTGGTTGATTAATATTAATGCTCTATCTTCTCTTCAAAAAAAAAAAAAAATATTAAGTTAAGATATAAATACATCGTCACAACTTAAATTTATGAATCTACACTCTTGACAAGGTGACACCACACGACCACACTCATACCAAATATCATCCTGTAAACATTATTCTGAACATATATAACTCGAACCAAAAACTTGTTAAAGTATAAAATCGAGTATATGTTTGATAATTTTTTCTTCTCTTCTTTTAAAAAAAGCACTAGTGCTCGAAAGGAACGATTTCTTTCGGTTATAATGGAATCTTTCTTTTAATTATTTGCTTTGTAGTCCATGGATGAGATTGTTAGATGATTCTCAACTTCTCATAGTTTGAAGTTTGAACAACTAATTAAAGAACTATACCTTATTAAACGATGTGATTAGTCCAATATTAAGGAACCAATAAGATTACCAATACGGTCCACGGAATTTTCAATACCAACAATAGTTGGCCACCTTATATTAAAATTATTAAAACTTGCGTGAAATGGGGCCCACTACCCACAAAAGGGCAAACATCTTTACCATACTAGACCATTATTCTTATGAAACTTAGTGGAAAAATAATGAAGAAAATGACATCTTTATTTTATGTGTATAGTATTTTAAATGATTTTATAATACATATATGATGGTAGTTTTTTGGTTGCCTCTTTCTTTGGCTAGTGATATTAATGGTCGGCGCAAACCCATGTGTGCCGCGTTGGACCGTCATCGATATCTCCCACTCCCAAACAAGCAAGCATAACTCACTTCAAACTATGGCAATAAAATACTTGCTATTTTATCATGAAAAATGATATACATAGTCCTAAAAAGCTCAAAAAGGAAATATTAAGGAAAAATTAGCATTAATTACACCGATCTGCGCGTATTTTGTCATGAATTTCCAACTTAATTCCATTTTAAGAAGTATATTTAATGCTTATACATAACCCTAAGGGCTACATATATCATTACCCTTTTATCATTATTTACTTGTGTGTAAATGCATTTACGTGTCAACTTTTCGAAGTTTGAAATTTTTTTTTTTTTTTTTGTTTTTTTATAGAATTTATAATGAATGGTGTGCTGAGTCTCTCTTTCTCTTTAAAGAGGATGGTGTTCAATGTATGTGTTTGACTAACATATTCCCATAATTCAACAAGTGATGTTTTTGGCTGTGTTTTTACCCGTAACTCGATAAATTACGCGTAACTTTATGTTTAATATCTCACTTTATATATGATTCCATTATATTAGGAATTTAATTTATTTATAAATTGGTGATCAATGATGTAATGTTGCCATAAAATTTGAATAAAGTAAAATATTTTAGACACTAACAAATAAAGAAGTTTGAATTGTTGATCGTAGCATATTGTGATATGTAAACATCGACAAACTTTTGCTAGCTATAACATACTTTGTTCTACTAATTCGTTATATAAGTCAAAATAGGGATGTTAATGAGACAAGCTAGATGCGGATGTTAATCCCTCTATCTCCATCTAGAATTTCATCTCCATTTCCACCATACCACTGAAAGGGGAAGATGTAGGATAGGTTTGTCTCCAATCTCTAGTAAAACTCGCGCCCATTGACACCCTTAAACCAAGTGAATTAGCTAGCTAGCAACCAACAACTGATTGTAATATAAGAGTACACTCCAACAAATTAAATATGAATCCCATGTTGCTTAGAAAATGAAAGCAAACTTGGTTTTTTCTTTTAATATAGATACTTCTATTTCATCATGTCTTATGGAGTATACGACAATATTCCAGTGTACATAATTTTGAATATATTTGTTAAGGTTTAGTGATTTTCGTAATACATCATCTACTTATAATAAACTTGACACTTTTATTGTGAGAGTTTTCAATTTACGATCTCTCTCTCCTTTAATACCACTTCCTTCACTTCTTTTTCTTTTCTCTACCCAATTACAAAATTTTTAGACAATTATAGATAATAATTTCGTATGAACTTGATTTTAACACCCAAAAAAAAAATTATATGAAAATAATTCAAAATATAATATATCCTGTCCAAATTGTCCCGAACAAGCTAACACGAAATGATCTCTAAACACAAAACAAAACAAAATCAAAATCAACTAACATTTTCTTCTGGCCAGATCACTGAACTTCAACTAACTCAATCTTTATACATACCAAATCTTACAAAAGAGTATACCAATTAATACGCAAACTTGATACTCAAATAGTCTAGTATAAATAAATCAATTAAAATTAAGTATAACTATTAATTAAACCAACCAAGTAGCATGATAATATTTATTAACAACCATAACCACCTAAAAATCTAGCCCATTACATGATAGAATTTGCCTTTTAATATTTTTGGATATGTAAGAAGTCATCGTCAATGCTTACGTCATTCCATATTTTTCCAGCAATTATTAACGTAATCCACGACCCACTCACAGTGTATGTGACGCTATTTATGTCGTCACTCTTACCCCACCTTTTATCCCATAGTTGACGTCCAACTCATCACCCTTTCTCTTCCTATATAGATTCCACCCTTTCTCACCAACCAAACTCCCCCTTTTCTCCACTATTTTTCCCTCATAATATTATTTCAAACTTTATATAATCACATTTATTTTTATCACTTCAAATATTATTCCTTAGTCAATACATTTATACTTGTATACACGCGTTTATTATTATTATTATTATTATTATTATTATTATTATTGTGTGATGCAGGAGGCATTGCCCTATAAGAGATGGGAGGTACTCCCACCGGTACTAGTGGCGAGTACCTCCTCAAATAGTGGAGGTAATGTTGGGAGTAACAATATTAATAATAGTAATACGATGGAGAGTTTGGTGAAGAAGAATCCAGTGATCGTGTTCGGGAAGCGAGGTTGTTGTATGTGTCATGTGGTGAGGAAATTGTTGCTTGGGTTAGGAGTTAATCCTCCTGTGTTTGAGATTGATAGTAGTAATGCTAATGAATCTCTTTTGATTAATTCTTTGTCAAAATTTGTAGTCAATAATAATGGTGGAAAAAATAATAATAGTGTAAACACCTTGCAATTTCCTTTGGTGTTTGTGGGTGGGGAGCTTTTTGGTGGCCTAGAAAAGGTTATGGCTACTCATCTTTCTGGTGAATTGGTGCCTATTCTCAAACAAGCCGGCGCGTTATGGCTCTAAACTACTACTACATCCATAAGAGTTTAGGAATTTGAGGTATTGTATCAGTGTGACAATTAATTCTATCCGAGAAAGTAGTTTCACAAAAATACTTTGATTCTTCATAAATATTTGTCTTTTTTCAGATTATATGAGTTAGGGCGATAAATATTTTGAATCGGATCGATGGGAGAATCTTATATTGTATGGGAAATTTTACAAGTGCTAGATTATATTTTGTGATGGTAATTTTTTATGAGTTTTTAGTTGAAGGTAGATTTTCTTGTACATTGTTATTATTATTCATGATTGTGTATGTATACCATAAAGAAAATGATGGTGTTTAATAATATTAAATGATTTCATTGCGTGAAATAAAAATTAAAAAAATATAAAATAAAAATTGAAGAATGATTTTGTTTTGTTGTTCGTTTATTCCTTTATCCAATTTCGGTGCATGTTCGTCTCCTTAGTCATTTCATCATTAATGGATTGAGATGATATCATAAGATGATATCAATGGATTGAGGGTTTACACATGTCGTTGTCCACGTGTCATTAATAGTTCAGGATTAGGTTTGTAACCGTTGACGTGGTCCACCCTTTATGAATTATTATACTACTCCATAGTAATATTGCTTATCATCAACTGGTGGATATAAAAAAATTGACTTTTACCTGACTCAGGGCCTGTTTTTATTTAAGCATTTTAATTTGATATTTACCGTGTGTATATATATAAAAGAGTAAATATAGTCCTGCTGATACTTGTTAAGATTGTCTCCAATATATAGTTTTTGAACATCAACTTTATGTAATCTATAAAAGCGCGTCTTGTATGTGGCTGGGTGATCACTTGTAAAAGAATAAAGTAATTCTTATTAAACTGACCGAGTAACCCCTGTGACACTAACAAAGTAACCTTATTACACTAACAAAGTAACTCCTGTAACATTGACCAAGTAATTCCTGTAACATTGATTGAATAACCCATGTAATACTAACGAAGTAACTCCCATAATGGTTAACAATACGATGTATAAAAATTTGTGAATCTACAACATACAATATGGATAATAAAAAATATTGTCGATCAAAGTTTAACATTAGCAATTATAACATTTAAAATGGGACACCTAAATAAAAACAAAGGGAGTATCTAATATGATGACTTCCTAACTTGAAATTGAATTATATGGAGTAGAGTATCTGATAGTTTATGATTTAAAATTACTTGATAGTTAATTTGGCTAATTTAAGTGACTTGCCACACACTTAAATATGACCTGAGCCAAAATAAATCCATTTAAACAATATCTTGCATGTAGAGTTGTCAGTTTCTGACTCAAATCGTTAAATTTGACTGTTTCGAATCGATCCGAAAAGAAATTAAACCGATAAAAACCCATTTTTTGAAAATCGAAAATCGATCCGACCCAATTTTTTCCAACCCGAAACTGAACCGAACCGAAACACGCTTCATATTAGTTAAAACTTTTCGCAAACAAACCCAATTCAATCCAAACCGATTATTATGACCTCAACCAATAATGACCCGACCCGATTTCACCCGATCTGTTTTGAACCAAAATCCATTTTCAAACCGACCCAGTTTAACCCAAACTGATTATGACTTGAACCGATTACAACCCGACCCGATTGGGACCTGAACTGTTTTGAACCAAAACCTGCTTTAAACTAGCTAAACCCATTTTCTAACCGATCTGGTTTAACCCAAACTGATTATGACCCGAACCAATTACAACCTGATCCGATTGGGACCCGACCCGAATATAAACCGTAATTAAAAAAATCAAACCGAACTGACCCTATAATTTTCAAAACCGACCCAAACCGATCCGCTAACATAGTTGTTAAAATCCCAATCCGGATCTTACGATCCTACGATTCTACGATCCAAAATTGCGTGATCGATCCAGATCTTTGGTAGGATCTTACGATCCTACTCCGATATTAATTATGAGTGGTAGGATCTCAACACGATCCTACAATTTTATTACGATCCTACGATCCGATCTAACATTTTACTATAATATGAGACTTTGATTTATTTTGACATATTTTTTATTATTCATTAGGTTATATGCACCTAAATTTAATGTATTCAATAATTATCGCTAATAAATTAGCGAATCCGAGACATTAATATGATTTTATCAATTGACAACTTGCAATTGTCATAGTTAAGGTCTCATTCTTGACAAAGTTGCACATAATTTATTAATTTAAACTTGTGTTATTAATCTTCTAACTACCATAAAGACAAAGCTAAATAAAGATCGACCTTTCTTAAGCAAACCAATGTCTTTTAACATTGAAACCCCTTAAAAGAAATGTTTTTAAGTCAATTTATATCATAATATATAATATTATTCGTTATTATGTAGGATCTTACGATCTATGATCCGATTCTATCGATTTGATCCCAATCCCCTTCATCGATCCAAGGTAGGATCCCGATCCTAACAACCATGTCCGCTAATCATTTTAACCCGTTATAAACCGATCCATTATAACCTAAAACCGATTAACTCAACCCGAAATTGAACTGTTTACCCGAATTGACACCGTACCCCTGCATGCATGTGATGTATTAATCAGTGCTTGGTCTCATGTCCAAAAATTTAAGCAAACAACTTTGCCAAAAAAGTTAGATATTACTCATATTAGCAGATTTGTGTGAACTTTGTTTAATTTGCGGCTATTCCACCTTTTAGGAGTATTAGAACAATTTTGTTAGATAACTTTTGAAAAATATTGACTGCCTTCAAATAACACAAGTTTAATATTAAGGCTCTGTTCACTTCACCTTTAAAAAAATAATACTTTCTCCGTTCTAATAATATTGCAATTATTAAACTTTTTCACTATTCATCACGCTTGTTTGACCACGTATTATGATTTATACGTAAAGTAAAATATAGTCATGTGCGACCTTGTTAGTTTCGTCTCATAAAATACTTTCACAATATCAACTTTTTATAAATTTTACTCTTATATAATTATAGATATTTAACATATAAAGTGTGCTTTGGAATGCGTAATTTCATCCTTGTTGCAATATTTGTGGAACAGAGGACGTATTAGGTAAAAATAATTCAGTTCAGTAAAAATAAGTTGAGTTCAACAAATATAAGTTCAGTTTAGTAAAATTCAGTAACTTTAAAGAGGAAATATAATAGAAAATCAGTAAACATAAATTCAATTCAGCAAAAATAATTTCAGTTCAGCAAAAATAATTTCAGTTTAGCAAAAATGAGGTGAAGTGAACGAGGCCTAAATTTCCTATCAATTGTAATTGTGATAACCATATTTTTACCTTTGTCTTGCTAAATGGTGAGAAGGACTAAGAACATTTGAGTCAGATTAAGTACTCCATCCGTTTCTTTAAAAAAAATTTCCGTTCGAGATTAATTAGCTGTGGATTTTTAAGCAGTCTAAACAGAATCTTGACACGGCCCAATTATTACAAAAATTCAGCCTCTAGAAACCCGACTAGAAAATGTGACACAAATCACAAAATTACGCTTTGAGAAACTTTTTTATGGCATTGTACATACATGCTGCCTACCAGTCAACTCTAAATTTCATGTAGTCAAGTCAATGATTTTGAATGAGCAAAACACTAATCCACAATCAACATTTAGATCACCAAGTAACCATTAATATCATTAATTATGTCCAAGTAAAAATTATATGAATATAAAAATTAGGGCGGCTAACAATGTCAATTTTAGTTGTTAGTAACGTTAATGGGGGAAAATATATTACTGTAACAAATATTTTTAGGGGTATAAATGTTCACATAATATTCTTATGAATTAAAAAAAAAAAAACAATTAACATAAGCGAGGGCAAATTTTTATATAAACATTTTTACTGATATAATCGTCTCATCACTATTCATAAAAGTGTGGTCATAATTTTAAAAGGGGTAAATACGTAAATAAACAATTTTAGGGACATAATTGTCTCAACACTATCCATAAGAGTTTCTCATACTTTTAAAAAGGTAGGGAAAATGAGAGTGAGGGATAGCTCAAATGGTTAGAGCTCCCCTTCATTTCGATTCTTAGAGATCTTGGGATCGATTCTCATCACCTGCCCTTATAGCTCTCTTAACCAAAAAAAAAAAAAAAAAAAAAAAAAAATAGGGAAAATTGAATCTAATATAATCTCACAAGCCTATATAATTTTAAATGGGCATGGACTATGGAGTATAACTGTTTAAAGAAGGTCAAAGTGAAAATATGAATAGTGACCAAAATCAAACAACTAATATTCCAAAAATTTAACAAAAATATGCTTTTTTTTTTTTTTTTTTTTTTTTTAATCTTGTAAAAGTAAAGCGAAAAATCTTTAAATCATGTTAAGATACTCTGCATGAAACTATTATGATCATTACTAAATTAAAAAAAAAAAAAAAAAAAAAGGAAGGTTATAGCTTTCTTATGATGTTTTGGCTTATAAATATCACTAAACATACAATACTCAAAATAAACATATAATAAGGTTATGAAATATAAGTATTTTCTCCATTTCAAATTATTTGTAATGATTAAACATTTTCTACTTACACTTCATATTAAGCCGTTGCAGATTATAATTTGAAACGGAGGTAGTATTATTTTACAAGTATAACAAATGATCGATATAAAATAGTGATTTTACTTGCTCTTGTTGATGAATATATGAAAACAATGTAATATAATTTTACATCCGAAGGCAGGATTGACATGTATCCAGTTAATTTATTCAATCATGCATTTTGTTATTGAAATTTTTTTGAGAAATTTGAGTTAAATTATTTTTTTTTTTGTAGAAAAAAAACTGATTGCTTCTAGAACCCAAAAATTTTGAGTTGTAAAATGGTTGGGTTTCGTTTCAATGGATAATTTTTGACGCAGCCAAAAAGAAACATATCGTATGTATACGTAGATGAAGTATAGAATAAAGTGTGATTACGGCGTTATAGTGTTTGCAGATCCAACCATAGATTGACCATCTAACTACCAACGACAATGGCTTAATGCGTGGTATTAGATCATTAGATTGCCTTATTGCATATTTATTTAGTTATAATAGTATGTATGTATACATTGAACCTTTTTTCATTATTGTAACCTACTCGATCTCTCTGTCGTTTTTAGGGCTGTACACCGGTTCACAATCGGACCGAACTGGACTTGAATCTCTATATTTTGAGGACCGGAGACCAGACCTGAAACAGCAGATCCGGTCTCGATCCAAACCTGAAAAATCAGGTCCAATCCGATTTTGGACTTGATAGTACTTTATTTATCTATTTTTTTTTTTTTATTCTAAAAAAAATCAATTTGAAAATTA